TCTCTCTCTCTCTCTCTCTCTCTCTCTCTCTCTCTCTCTCTCTCTCTCTTCTATTCTATTCTATTCTTTTTATACAACGTTTTGCAAATACAATACGGAATATATATATATATATATTTCTTAAATAAACTAATTTTTTCATTTTTATAAATGTAATTACAGAAGAATGGGGGTGGGGCGGGGGGGGGGAGGGAAAGAATGAGAAAAGAAAATATCAAATTTCACATAGATTTAACCTTGGAGGATATTTGAGTTTTATATAGGAAAAGAAAGAGATTACACGCGCATGAGAAAATATAATTTAAGATGGTCAATCATCTTTCACTTTGCAAAAAAAAAAAAAAAAAAAGAAAAAAAAAGATAATAAAAAAAAAAAAAAAAAGAAAGAAGAAACGAAAAAGGAGGAAAAACAGGAAAATGAAAAGAAAAAAGCTATTCAACTTCGTGAAGGTTGTCACAAGTCAAGATCACACAAGACCGAGAAGGCAAGAGCATATACCATCGTCATGTACCACCTAGTGTTACGAACTCTGTAATGATTACTGATTCTCATTATATTTTTGTACATAATTGGGGAGAATTACACGAGAATAAAGTGAATTTGAAACGAGCGAGTTGCCTTCAGCCATGAACACAGGGAAATCGGTGTCCGTTTATTTGATGTTCGAAACCCTTGAAAACGGTTCGCACTACTACTATCATTGCTATAAAATTGCTAAATAAATACATTTAAAAAAAAAAAAAAGTGAATGTGCCAGCAATCTATGAGTAGTTCGTACTGTTAATATCGATTAAGATTAAAATGAAAAGATATTTAAAACTTTTAACACTTTTGACAATTATATTTTTACATTTTTTCCCATGTTTGTTCGCTTAAACAACGTGTAACGACTTGTAAATTTTACTTTCTATTGGGGGTTCAACCCATTTCCATTTATTAAAATACAAAAGAAAAAAGAAAAAAAAAAAAAATACGTATTATGGAAGAAGGTTCTATCGTTGAAATTTTCTATATATAACTTAAATATCGTAATATAAGTATAGAAATAAATATACAATGTAGTGAAATTTGATATATATGAAGTTGTAACGATCAATTGTTAGAGTATTACTACACTATGGCAGGAAAATAGTAGAAAAGTTTGTTACTAATTTTCATAAAAAAAATTAAACGCGTGAAATGGAATCAAAAAATGTTGAAGATAGCAATTGAAATGGTAGGTTATGTCAGTTTAAAATTTTGTTATGTTTTATTACGAAATAAATAGTTCGTTTAACATAAATATTATCGTTACAAGTATTTCGGGTTAGGTTTAAAAATTTGAATCGGAAATTAATGTCGATTTTAATATCGATCTAATTTCGAGTTATCGATCTATATGTTATGATTGAACAGAACTAAACGAAATATGTCGTTGCGGCGTCACACAGAGCGATATCGGAAAAAATTGTTTTAATTTAGACTATTTTTATTTATATCATATATGTGTTAATTGAACAAAATTTGATATTCAACTTATATTTTTCAATTCAATTTATATTTTTTAAAGAATTAATATACTTTACGTGAGTAATAATTATTACTGATTTTTTAATTTCGGTGTTACACAGAATGAATACATGGTGGTACAGTGATGTTAATTTTTACCAAAATCCAAATTTCATAGTCATCAATACTGTTACAATAACGGAAATATTGCAGTTCTACGATACACGTAAGTATATATATTTGTTATTGTTATTAAATTTTAAAGTAAAAATTAATGTTTACGA